CATAGGTGTCGAATGATGTGTTAGTGCTGATTGGCCCAGGTGATTCCAAATTGTGGTGGGGTCAATCAGAGTATGCTTTGGTGAGAATTGATACAATAGATGTTGGATGACTGCGAATGTATCTGTAGAATGATTCAGAGTCCCAGCGACCGATTTTCTGTATCAGTACGAGTTGCACACCACACATGACAAGTTCTGTGGTTCCACCTGCTCGAAAGCTGTATCTTGCTAGGTTCTCGTCTGGGAGTAGTTGCTTGAGTCTTGTAATGAACCAGTATTTGGTGGCCCATGTACTGTCACCTTTGGCGAACAGTAGGTTGCTATTGTTGGCATACGATCCTTGTGTGCGGATACTCATGTATGTCTTCAATATGCACACAGGGCACAGGGAATCATTAGCTGGGTATATGATAAGTGATGTATGATTGGTGAACTTGTGTTTTTTGGTTCATGGTAGTTGGATCGTTGCGAAGGTATTGCTCTCAGATAACTCGAACTTTAGTACGGCCATGGTTGGAACCTTGATTTCATCTGATTGGTTGTTGGGTAGGAGCTCCCCTAGTCATGCAAGACCGTAAAAGGCTGACAAAGCAATGGCTCAGAATAGGGTATCTACATTGTTGTTTGTATTCAGTTGTTGTTGAATTTGTAGCAGGTGTTGACAGGTAATGTGAGATTTTTGATTAATAGGCTTGTGAGTGTGTGTGGCTTCGATGGTTTTCAGAAGTTGCAACACTAGAGGGTCAGAACGAATGGGGCTCCAGTTATAGTGGTTTCTTGAGTGATGATATTTAAGAGCCGAGAGGTAAGTCATGATAGTAGGGGGTGTGACAGTCTTGTAGAGCAAAGTTATGTAATTTATCAGGGAATCTTGTGATACTGGCTATACGGCTCCATCATGGTTGGTCCATTGATTAGCTGTGGCGAGGGTTTTATATCATTTGATTATAGCTTCGTACGCTTTGTTGTGAAGTTGTTTTATGTTGAGAAGTTGTGTAGCTTGAGCATCTAGTAATAAATTTGTACCAAAATATTGGGGGTTGGTGCTATGAGGATGAGAAACTGTGAATTTGGGTTGTCTTGTTGGTGTGTTGTCTATTGTTTTAAGGATGGAATAGGAGAGATTAATTCTTTGTATAGATCAAAAATTTTAAATTTAAATGAATATTTCTTGACAACCAGCAGGTTGGGAATATTGGGGTTAAGGTAGTATACACTAGAGTTGTGAGCAATGAATTTTCAGCGGCCGTTACGGGACAATAAGTCTGCATCTAGATTGTGGATACCAGGAATGTGTTCGAGTTTTATGGCGAAATTGTTATACACTTGTATGGTGTAAAGCTGACCAATCAGGTCGTTAATTTTGGGGTTTTTGCAATACTTAGCATAGTACACCTCGGCATTAGATAGGTTGTCTGTCCATATTATAAGCTTTTTCTATTGCCATAATAGAGCAAAGATACGTGCTGCGATTAACGTAGTCAGTAGTTCTCTGGCTTGAATGTTCATTGAGTTCAGGTCAATGTTGTTCGACTAGGAGAAAGTTGTGAAATAGTTCTGAAACACGGCCTCCCACCAATGTTTGACGTGTCTGTGAAAAGATTGAGGGTGGATGGTTGTGTCCATTCTGTATCCTGTAGTAAATGAATACCATGCTATTCTTTGAGTGCTGAGATCTACCACTGAAGGTCTGATTGCATCAGTTTGGTTATTCAAAAGTGGAATTTTGAATTCTTTGAAATCTCCTGAGCTTTGATAAAGCGTTGAATAAAGAGATGGCCTTGTGGGATGACCTGATATACCCAGACCAATGACCCTACTATAGATTGCAATTCTTTTCGGTAACACCATTTTTTGTGTAGCCATTGAGATGTTAAAGCTGTTAGCTGTCTTTGCTTTTCAGCTGGTATTGACGCAAGTAGGGTGTCTGTGTCTAGTATTATGCCAAGAAAAGTAACACTAGTGCAAGGGCCTTCCATCTTCTCATGTTTATAAGATATGTTTAAAACATCAAGGATACGAATGAATTGCTGAAGTTCACGTTTGCCGTCTGTAGGTGATATTATCAGAAAATCATTTACATAGTAGATAATTGTGGGGATGCCCTGTTGGCATGCTACCCATGTCAGAAGGTCGGCGAAACGGCAAAATATTCCTCCGGAGGCACAGTTTCCGAACGCCAGTACTTTGTCAAAGTATAGATCATTTTCATTTCGAAAACCTTGCAATGTTTGGTCCACAGGATGCACAGGAAGGATGCAATAAGTATCTTTAATATCTATTTTTGATAAGGTGCAACCTTTTCCATATTTGTTAATCCAGCGAATCGCATGATTTACGTTTTCGTATTTAGTGGCAAAATCCAGCTTGTCAATTCTGTCATTGATGCTGTTGTAGGGTGGAGAAGACAGGTGAGAGATTACACGATAGGCTGGGGATTTGTGTTTCTCTTTTCAACTAGGCCACATGGATTGATTTGAAATGAGTTGCAGGGTAGGTCATCGATATCAAACAGGCCGCAGATGCATTTGTTTGCTAACTCATTTGTGATGTATACTGTAAATACATCAGGCAATGTTTATCGAAGAGAGGTTGTCTTGAATGAGTCTGGATCA